CTACAATCATAGATATTGCAATCAGTAAATACAAGATCACTTAACATAATCCAAAGAAATACATATGTTCCTTCATTTTTAAATATTAGTTTTAAAAATCTTTATGTATGAAAACCATATTTAATTCTTCCTCAACCATTAACAAAGTAATCTTAATATCTATACTAGAGTAAAAATGTCAATGCAATAAAAATTTGAACATAGTCATTGTCCAGAGAAACTTTAAAGTGCATTATCTATTGGAAAAGAAACAGTTGCTGTTACCAAAATACAAATCCTTATACTTTTAGATTTCACTTGTCAAGAATCATCAACAGCAGAATACTTTTTATTCTGTTGTTGATGATTTTTCTGTTTCATCATATGACAAGAATTGATGTTTCATTAAAGTTTATATTCATTGTACTGTTATAAAATTGCTAGAGATATTCATGACATAAAACTGATTATTATAAGACAACTGACTAATAATGCCATCATCAGCAATTTAACATGGAGTCTATGAATCAGTAGCTTTATCAACATAATAATGAGAACAGATTTTTTGCTGATACTTATAGATGCTTAAGATATAGTGAATACAGTGAATAATGACAAATATATTTCTAATGAAATAGATAAATGACCAAAAAAGTTAAAATTAACGTGGATGAATGAAATGGACAAAAAAATCAAAATATTCGAATGATGGTATATGTGATTAAAAATTTGCATAAATTACTATCATGATTATTATTAATAACGGATAAATTTAAAAAGTTATATTACATCCTATATATTCTAATATAGTATATCACCTAGAATATTTTTCCTTAGCATTTTCATTTTAATATATTCCAATTATTAATTTCTTCTGCAAGTCCAAAATAACTCTACTTAATGTTTCTGTTGTCAAACAGAAGCATTAAGTACATTTACATTTTAATTACATTTATCAATTTGAAGTATTCACAACTGATTGACTGAAAGCATTGTTGTTAGCAAAGATATTTATCAGTGGCATGTTATGAATATCCTGTTATTCATAACATAATTTAACTGCACTATTAGAAGATAGTTTCCAACTCTGGAAACAGTGTACTAACCTTATTGAAAATTATTCAAGAAACAAAAATGTATATGACAGTTATTTTTGAATAATTCTTATATTAAAAAATACTGTAAGAAACAAAAGAATTAATGTGATAATCAAGAAAAAGTTAGAAATAATTCATCATTAAAGAAAGAGTTAAGAATTGAACGTTTCATCTACTTAAAAGCTGTTTGTTTTACTTAATATATGTATTCTTCTTCAGTGTTAATAGTAAATTTATAGTTTTTCTGTAAATTCAAATATAGAATAAATATATCAATCATATCTTTCATATAAAATAAACATTAAATTCTTTACTCAATTACATTTTTGTGCCTTTATAAAAATATTGTTGATGATTATTTCATTAATAATTTATTTATTACATTATAAAAAGTATAAAACATTAATTTTTATGTTTATTTTAACTCCAGTATAAAACTAACATAAATTAAATTTTAATTATTTAAATTTTACAGAAAAAACTGAATAATTCCAAAATAACAAATTTGGATACAAATTTTAAATAAAAAAGTTCAATTAATCAAAATCATAAATGAAAATCATGTATAATTTTTACTAATAAAGATAAAAGTAAATTAAATATAACAATGAAACAATCAATTATTAGAGTAAAAGTAATGCACAGAGTAATTCAAAAGTCTTAGACAAACTTTAAAGGTAGATCAGAAATACAAAAACAAACCATTTTTATCTAGGAACATTTAACTGAAAACACAAGCTGCATGTTCTAATAAATATGTTGTATACTTTACATGTATTCCTTTCTGCATGATTCTTCCTGTACTTCTAGCAACTCTGGGGTGGCATTTGCTGCTATATCTTCCTATGTAAAAATTGTTTGTTTTTGTATTCATGACCTACCTTTAAAGTTTTTCTATCTTTGAATCATCCTGTATACCAATACATTTATACAATGAATATATACATTAATAAAAAATTAAAGTGATAAAGTTTCTAACAATTCACTATCTCTAGCAGTGAGAAAGTTAGATTCATTTCTGCATCTATAAATATGGCCAAGTCTGCATGTCAGATTAGTGTTTCATTTGTTCTTGATTTTTTAAATAACATCAGCTTATTTCAAATAGATCTCTATTTTATCTAAATGCAGAAAGAATATTAATGTCATTGCATAATGTTTTTAACCTAACACTGCTTTTAAGTTTTTCATTTCTAAATATAATTAAGTATTATATATAGTCAATTTATATAGTAAATCGTCATTCTGCATTGGAGTTTTATATCACAAATTGCAAATTTAAATGCCAAATCTTTGTCAGTTATAATTAAAGAATAAATTGTTGTATATAAACATATTTCTATTTCATTTTCATAACAATCTTATTTTATTGATTATGGGATGGATAGACAACATTTCTTATAACTCATTCAGTCTTCAAATATTCCTATTCATTTTATTAATAAACCTTTCCTTCTTTAAATATTTAAAGCTAATGATAAAGATTTGGCATTTAAATTTAATTATAAATTACTCAATTCTTTACCATAAAATATGAAGACAGATAAATAACATTAGTTTGTATTTAAACAGAATTTCACTTCTTGAAATTTCATTCTAAATTATTATAACATAAAGATAATTAAATAAATCATATTGTAAGTACTGACATATTTAAAATTAATAAATTTAATTACCATTATTGACAATTTTCATTCATAAACATAAAAATTTAATTTAGAAATAAAGATTTTAATTTTTTTTTCTAAATTAACTTTTCTCATGAAAATACCCTACTACATCCTGCTTTGTAACTAATTACTAGTACTTTCATTAAATTCTGTTCAAGTTATTAAAATTTACTAAAATATAACCATACAAATAATTTTGAAACAAATTATAATATTCTTTTTAACAGAAAAAAATTTTGAAAGACTATTTAATTAAATCAGTATTGATGATAAATAAAAACAATCTAATCTTACAATTTAATTTTATACATATAAAATGTATAAGTAACTTAACAAAGAAACAAAAGTAAATTTTTAATTAAGTTCAATTATTCTATGCTTTATTATGAAGCAAAAAATTAAACACACATGATTAAAGTCTTCCTCATTATTTATCAAAATCTAATTTATGAAAGTTTTCATTATCTTAAGATATAATGTGCAGAAAAATAAATATATTTTACAAAATAGAAATAACCTTATGAAATTAATTATTACGTAACTTTTTTAAAATTTCATGAATTCATATTTTAAATTTAAATATAAAAAATAAAAAAAAATTTAAAAAGGAAAATTATGTAAAACTTGTGAATATTCATGGTATATCCAGTCTGGATTCCATCTTGAATTTTCCTATTAATCTATTATTTTTTTATTCAATTAAATCATATTTATTCATATTTACAATATATATATGAAAAATGTAATTGCATGTGATTTTATAATATTACATCTTTTTATTGTGTAATAAAGCTATAGTTCTGTTACAGGAAGTTCATGTATATATTAGATATTTATATTAATTTGATAATAATCATAGCAAAAATATATCTAGCATAAACAAAAAACATGATCGTCTTCTCTAATCGAATTCAGGAATTTGACAAAATCTTTCTGATATTGTAATTTTTTTTTACTTGTTTAATTTCATGCCTTTTGCAAAGCTGAATTTTCAATAACAACTTTTAAAATTTTAAATTACATATTATTATTATATATTTAATACAATCTCCTGTAACAAAGCTATGATTTTATTACACAATAAAAAAATTTGACATATACTATATTAACTCAATAATTTTTACCAATTGTTGTGGTAACGTATGAATATTTTTGAAATGCTAATGTCATAAATATAGAATGTACTCTGTTTTTCAAGCATTAAAATATAACAAAAAGTACATTAAATAACAAAAAAACACTTGAAAAATAGAGTGCATTTGCTGTTTAATAAATAAATTTATGTGAAGAAGAAAAATTTTCTTCATAACTCTGAATGTCATAATAAAATGTTTATATAAATCAAATATACTTTATGTCTTCTTTACATATATATATATATATATTATAATTTTATATTGATTTATTTTAGCATTTGTTTTTTTAAATATACATAATTGAATTATTATGATGAAAATTTTAAAAACTTAACTTTAAAACATAAAAACAAACAAAGCAAAACAAAATAAAAACAGTTGAAAATTATATAAATGAAATTATAATAAATTAAACTTAAATTACTTATCAATAACATAAAAATTGGTTAAAAGACTAGTTATGACAGGGATATTTTTATAAACCATTGTAAAACATTCAGTGGCTTTATCTTGAATTTGCAATAAATACTATTAAAATATTCACAGAATATTTTGAAAGCAACAATTATGCATAAAAATTGCATAATAAAAACAGTTTGCACATTTAACAAAAATATTTACAATCAATTAAAAACAATTTCTAAAATGTACAATATTTTCTAAAAATTTTACTTTGGTTTTTTACATAATTATCATAGAATAAATAATTTAATGTATTAAATTTGACTTCAATTTATGGTCATTTCAAAAATTAGAAAAATTTAATTTTATACTTTTTAATTACTTGTCATATTTTTTTTTATCCTTCAGATGAAGAAAACATGTTTGTCATAACTTGTGACTACTTCATAATATATTTTGGTAACAAGATCGTAAAAATTGTATATATGCATATATAACACACTTTTAATAATTTCAATTAACAATTATTAAGTCTTGGTTTTTTTCTCAGTCAAAAAGGAGAAATTCGGTAAGTTTTTATGTCAAAATAGCCCAACAATAAATATTCAATATATATTACAATTTCATAAATTAAAATATATCAAATTTTTGTTACCAATTTAAACATATAACATTTTGAAAAAATTACTATGATTTATAAATACAAGAAAATCAAATCAGCTTGCACTACTCTTTGAGTTAACGGTAATATTTTTATCAATACCATAGTTTAATTCCAATCTTTTTTCTGATTCTCTAGAAAAGAAAATAATATTTATATAAGTATAAAAATTATTTTAAAATTTTTAAAAATTATTTTGTATCTATCAATTAATATCTTTAAATTCTAAAATAAATAAAAAAAATATAGATGTTAATCTTTGATTAAAACAATAAAATCATTCATTTAGATTATGTTACAATCTGTTTTTCTTATAACTTACTATAGCAATTCAAATGTTCTAATAAATAATATATATATCATCATTATTATACAAAAAATAAATAATATATAAAAATTACAAGCATTACATTATAAAAATATCTAACAGAATATTAAAGTTAAAAATATTACAACTCTCTTAATAAAATAAGCTTTGAATAAAAATATTCAGTTCAAGCAGAAACTAATAAATTAACTAACTTTTTATAACTTTTTCTCAATAATGTAAAATTTTTTTATTTGGGATATAAAAGAGCTCTGTCTTGTTTTCAAAGAGCATCAAGAACTAATATAAAGAAAAATTATAAAGACTTAAGCTCATAACTGTTGTCTTATTCTAAAATTAGAGATATTCACAATGAGCAGCTTTTCTCATTTTTAGAGGAACCCAGTTGTACAAAAGCTGAGAACCATGAACCCTTACAATGATTTTAAGTAAGAAAGTACCAATATTAACTATGACAAAAATAAAAATGTTAATAACTGAATGATTACATAAACACATCGCAAAAGTAAAGAAAAATTTATCTTATCTTTTCTAGAATTAAATATAGTATTAAAGTTGAAAACAATTAATGTTCATATAGTCATTTGCAAATTAATAATGAAAATTTAATCTTAAATAATGATGTAAAATATATTAGATATTTAGATAAAAGATACATACATGTATGTATATCCAACATTTGTATTTAGGAATATGTAAAAACACATCTTAAACTTTTCAAGACTGTCAACAAAAAAACATTGCAATTCCTATCTCATCTTTATTGGATCATTTTATTAGTTGAAATTTTTGTCTTTTAGGAAAATTTCTTTGCACTATTTCTGTAAATTATAAATATGATACAAGTTCCTTTGTTGGCAGATTTTGACAATTGGAAAGTATTTATTGACCAATGATTTAATGGAAAAGCTTTCCAGAACCCTTATCACAGAACCTATGCTAACAAAAATACCATCAAGAAAAGCATCATCTTTTACAAATTCTAAGCAGTAAAAGCCAATACAATAAGCATAGCTGCTCATTTTGATACACTTATTAATTGGAAAATATGAGAAAGAAAAAGTTAATTTCCTTTTTTAAATATAAAAGACAGTAAGCAAAAACCAAAAACCACATAGTAATTCATAATGTAAAAAAGTAGTTGAAGACAAGTGTGTATATATAATTACAGTAGATCCCCCTATAAGACGGTTCCGTTCTTTATGAATCAATTTTGTAGGAATCATAGTTTACGGACTACGGCTGTTTGAAAGGTTTTCTTTCATAAAATTAATCGATTCTAGACTAATTCGACTCAACATTTCCAAAATACGTATATTTTTTTGAAAATAATCCGTATAAACTACGTTATAAACAAAAAATTGTAGGATTGCTTACCGAGTGTGTACCGTTCGACTACGCCCGTTGCTAAAGCTTGGTTTCGTCGCGGAACAGCGCATCAAACCGCGGCCGCGATTTCTGATATTATTTTTCTGCGAAAACTTCGTTGACCTTTGGAGACATCCTTAATATAAATAATTTTTATGGCCGTTAAATAAGAAATGTTTCTTTCACAAGAAATGTATAAAATTACAGTACTGGACAGACGATAGGTCGCCTAACTCGCCGTAGCGTGACGCTAGACGGCGAAAAATATATATTTAATTATAATAAAGTTACAATAAATTAAGTTAATATATAATTATATATACAGTACCTAATTTATATATAATTAATATATAATTATATGTACAGTACCTAATTTATATATAATTATATGAACAGACGATACTAAACTCAATTTATCCGCCTAAACGTCCGTAGCGTGGCGCTACGGACGGCGGGAAAGTAGTTCGGCTGCCCGATGACGTTTTACGTATTATAGGAGTTATTTTTACCGTTGTTTACGGATACTGCCACAATTTTTATAGGAATCATAACTATAGGAAACGGTTTTATAGGGGGATCTACTGTATAGCATATGTTATGTGCATTGTATGACCTATAAAAATGTATTTTTATACTTTGTTCAATGAAAAATATGCCTCTTTATATGCTATATCTTAGATTATCCTAATCTGTAACATCAAACATTCTGGTCCAACTATTCAAATAGAATGGCAAAATTCTGTTTTTTTCAGCCAATTACTATTCAGAAAATACTATGCAAAAACTTTACTATTGTCTTCTAACTTGAAAATTATTTTCAATATTTTAAATTGTATATGAATGTTACTTTAATTAATAAAGAATTGATTTTACACTGGAGAGTTTAAAAATAAAGCAAATAAATGAAAATAGTAAGGAATATAGTAATAGTAGTCATCCTTAGTTCCAATTTCGAAGAAAAATGTGAAAGATAATGATTCTGTGTGTTAAATCATAGCATAAATGTTAATCAATCAATCAGTAAAACTATTTTATCATTTATTAAAAATGTAAAAAAAGCAATGCATTTATAACTTTTTAGCATGACATGTTTAGATTACATGTCTTAATTGTCAATTAGACTGAGTAGCCATTCATCAAACATGATCATTAAAAGCTCATTTCTTGTTAAACAAGATAAAAGTTGTTTTATTTTGGAAGAAGTTATGAAAATGCAATGAAAAGAGTATCTTAATTTGCTACTAAACCACAATAAAAATGAACAATTTCCTATACTACACTTCAGTCTTCTTTATTCAACTAACATTTGAGATATAAATCATCCAGCAAAGAAATGAATCATCTGATCTATCTTCATGTTTTATTTGTGTCTTTAATCAATGTTGAAATTTTTACAATAATAAACTTTAATTCTGTGAACATTAACCTTTGCCCTCGAAAGTACTGATCGATCGGTACCCCCATTGTTAAGCAAAACTTCAAAAGTACCGATTCGTCGTTACCCTAGTAAAAATTGATTTTTGTAAAATTTATCAACAATAGATGTAAGCACTTGACAGCAGCATCTTGTCTATCATCTGTTTCACATATTTTTCTCCAGGTGATGTTTTGTTGACTTAAAAAATTTTAATTAATGCTTTTTTTTCTTAATTTGTTTTTTCTGATAATTTTTTATTTCATTTTTAGCATATATGCATGCAATAATATTACTATAATAAGTTCATTTATGCTATAATAAGTTTATTTAGCTATAATAAGTCAACATGTTATAAATATTCAAGTTGTGACCTTCAGTTCTGACATTTTATATATTTTTTATTTTAATCTAAAATATCAGCAAATGTTACGGTGTAAGGAACCAAGTCTGAGCTTTATTTTTATTTTACTTTTNTTACTCAGAGCAGCAATATGGCCAGTGTGAACCTTTTCAGGATGTTTCTTTTCAATAAAATCAGTCACTTACTGATAATACCTCAAGTTTTCCTTTATCAAGTGAGATCCTTCCACAACGAAGCAAACATGTGGCCTGAGACCGATGAACAGAAGTGAATAAAAAATGGCATTGCGAACTAATGTAACATTGTATGGCGAGTTTTTGTTCGTACCATGGAGCAAAATTATGTTCAAATTTCATGTCATATCCTGAAAATTTCATGTGCTGGGGCGTTCATATCCTGAGGTACCACTGTATGTGTTAATCCTTATGTACCCAGACTTTGTAGATCTAAAAGAATAACAACAACCAATATCTCTGAAGGCCATGAAGTCAAACTTGAGCATTGAGTAAGAATGGCTTTGTCAAGGGCTGCAGAGATAGCATCACAGCATCAATAGTTGAAACAATATTAAGGTGTCTATTACTAAAGGAAGACAGCAAGGAAATGTTTTCAAAGACAATAGAATGTTTATTCAGAATATAGTGTATAAAGAAATTTTATAAAGAAAGATTTTATTTTATTTTAATACAAAGGAATAAACTGTTTGTGTGTAAGTGAATTCTCTATAACTCCTATTTTTATCCACTCCAGGTGAAATTTTGTTTTTTTGCTCTTTGTTACAACATATAGTATAAACTACATAATTTGTACAAATATTAACAACTCTTCTTGAATTTCTTGAAATCTCTACTCTTCTCAATTCTTCAATCTCTACTTTCTCATAAAAAATATTCCTGATCAACATATAACTCCTACACACACACCGGGTTGTATAATAAAATTCCACTTACTTAAGCCTGTAACCGATGTGAAACGGTAAGAGTTTTACTGTTTCACATCAGTTACAGGCTTAATTAAGTGGAATTTTAAAAAATATTCCATCATGCTTGACAGGGAAATTTCTAGTAATGGCTATAATAATTAAATTTTAACTTCAAAATCTTTGGGAACACAGCATATATCCCATATTTGTATCAAACCTTACTACAAGCTAAGTTGATCCAAATAAAGATCCAAAAACTGAAGCATACTGGAACAGTTCTATATATGCTGCCTCTCTAAACAACAAAATGTGATCAACACACAATGTGAAATATCTATTGTATGTGTAAACCTGGTTGATCAAGTCTATAGACTTTTCTTGCTGTAGCAAAATACTTTGATGCTTCCCCATACCTTAAACATAACTCTTAGCTTTTTCTATGCTGAGCTGTTAATGGCTGCTAGCTTGATTATATTTTATTATTTTCAAATTTAACTAATTTTTACATATATTATGATGCTTAAATTTTATTTTAATTTATTCCATTTATTTATCTGCTATCATAATTTATTTATCAAACATAAATTTACCTTTCTGACAAAATCCCTTTGTACAATAAGGACAAGAAAATGGCTTTTCTTTATTATGAAAACGCTGATGAGTTATTAAATCACTATGACGTAAATAGCCTTTTCCACACAATGAGCAACGATGAGGTTCTGTTCCACTATGAATATGCATATGTCTTGTTAAATCACATCGCTGAATAAAATTCTTACCACAAACTTCACAGTTAAACCTTTGGTCATCCTAAATTATTTCAAATATAAATCATAAAAGTTATTTTTTTATGTAAACAAAATACTAATGTTGTAATAATTATTTTGTTGGTTTACATAACAATTATATTCAATGGAATTTCTTAGTTTAAAGCTGCAGAATAATATAAAAGTTTAGATGATAAAGAATAAAGGTTTATAAATATTTATACTAATAATTTCATAATTAATAACAATGTAATAATTCATTTTAAAAAATTACTTACTTTGCTGATACAGAACAAAGTATTATATCTTGATGTGAAACTTGCATGTGACGAATAAGAGTTGCTTCTTTAGCAAATTTCTTTTGGCAGTGACCACAGGTAAGTGGTTTAATTAAAAAGTGGATTGATCTAAGATGGCGATTAAGATCACCTAACAAAAGTAAAAATATTAACTTGTAAACTTACATGTACAGTACATGTAAACTTGTAAATACTACTACTATAATTTTATAAACTTTATTTTGAACTAAATCTTGCTTAATTCTGATGTTTTCTTGAGCATGTCAGATTAGTTAGATTTATAAAAATTTGAATAATAACTATTATTGATATGTTTTTTACTTAAAAGAAAATAAAAACACACTGATTGCATTAACAGTTTTTCATTTTTGCTAGTGCTTTCAACAAACTTATGTTCATTATCTTCAGGTGAATAAAATTTAAAATAGAAATTATACTATTTTAAATTCATCTTTGTTTTATCAATGTGGAATTAAAAAGACTCTCTATTTTGTCCAAAAAACAAAAATGCTAATGGAAGGCTTAAGTGTCAAATGGTCAGGTAAATTCTACAGGGTGTCCACAAAGTCTGGGTACATAAGGATTAACACATACTTTTAAAACGTAATAATTTTATTTGATTGTAATATTAATAAATAACATTTTCAATATGATTTCCATCATTTTCATCAATACATAATTTGATGCGCCATAATTTGTGGACACCATTACCAGTCAGTGTGCTGAAATCGACGGAAATACAGATCTATTTAATCGAGTACACCTGAATTTTGCAAGGCGCATCAAATTATGTATTGAAAATAATGGAAATCATATTGAAAATGTTATTTATTAATATTAGAATCAAATAAAATTATTTTGTTTTAAAAGTACAGTGGTACCTCAGGATACGAAATTAATCCATTCTGAAACTGAGATCGTATCATGAAAATGTTGTAAGATGAATCATTTTTCCCCATATGATTACATGTAAAACCAAATAATTCATTCCAACACAAAAAACACATTCAAATTAAAGCTAAGTAGTACATTAAAAAAAAAAAATAATAACTATAGTAAGGAAAACACTGAAAAATGCATTTTGTAGTTGTAAATCCATAAATAACCATAATAGAATAATAATTGATTAAAAAAAATGTAGTTTTATTTGCACTTTACCTTTGAGGATAGACGTTGGTGGAGATATAAACTGGTGGCAGAGGAGCGGGAGAAGGGAAATGATACTAAAACTTAACTTGCATAACATAATGTAACAATAACTTAAAAATAACTTAACACTAATTCTTTAACTTTTCTGTTTTATATATATNTGTAATCCCACAATATACCAGCTGTTAAGGAACAATAAAAATAAAATTGCACAAATAAAGAACAGCAGTCAATTTAGTACCCACTAAGAATAATTTTACAGAAGTGAATATCACTTATATAGGATAAACTAGCAGATCATTTTCCCAGAGATTATACAAATACTGATACAACCCCAGGACCAGTTGAACCAATAGCCTGCTTTCTAGAACTGAGAATGAAGAGAATCTTTAGCCAGAAATATGTTTCCTACTTACACTGAACAACAGAATGAATTAGGATACCTAAACAGAAATTATGAGGTACTTGCTTAAACACAAAAGATTTGGAAACCCTTCCTAATTCTTGAAAATTCATATTTAATAAAAATACGTAACAGAGACTAAAAATATCTTCACTTTTTGCCATGTCCAATAACCAAGAACAACTATCTTCCACAACAGAGATGACCTTTCTTTTGCCTCTGCAAAAGAAAGGTCATCTCTGCAAAACAAATGCTGGGATTGTCACCAGTAAACTTTTAGACTGTTTTGCATTTTTATGCAGAGGTATAGTCAACTTAAATATTATTTTAGTTTATTTTGTATTTCTAACTTTCAAACCTCGCTGCATTCCAATTTTTAAACATTAATTTACAAGAAAATTAATTTACAAAAAAAAAAAAATACAATTTACCTTGTATTTTTTATTCCATTTATTAATGTACTGTACTTTCTCACCAAACCAGGTTGTATATACTTCAAATAAACAACGATCTACAATTAACCAGTAACCGGAATGAAATTCTTTAAAACATGATCTTCTTCAGGCTTATTTTTATACCTTCTGTTATAACTGAATTCTTTATTTCGAATGTTTTTTTTAAAATTTAAAACATGCCATTTTCCGAAAAAAAAAAAAAATTCCGAAAGTGTAAGGAATCCATGTGCTATTTCAAATATAATTTTCTACCAATGAGTATTCATTGTGTGCAAACCTCATATAAATTTATCTTATAAAATATATTATGATTTATCGTCAATTAAAAATTGCCATGCAGAGAGATTTATTTCTTCTTTGAAATTAATGCATGCGGATTTGCGATCGACTTTAAAGATTTCCACTGCCTGCAAAGTTCTTAGTTGCCCCTGGTGTTGGGTGGTGAGGATAACGTGCGCTTCATCGAAGATAGGTGTAATACCCGGGTTTGTTGCATAAGTAGATAAGGCCGTCATACATTTATTATGTGNCCAAACCAGGTTGTATATACTTCAAATAAACAACGATCTACAATTAACCAGTAACCGGAATGAAATTCTTTAAAACATGATCTTCTTCAGGCTTATTTTTATACCTTCTGTTATAACTGAATTCTTTATTTCGAATGTTTTTTTTAAAATTTAAAACATGCCATTTTCCGAAAAAAAAAAAAATTCCGAAAGTGTAAGGAATCCATGTGCTATTTCAAATATAATTTTCTACCAATGAGTATTCATTGTGTGCAAACCTCATATAAATTTATCTTATAAAATATATTATGATTTATCGTCAATTAAAAATTGCCATGCAGAGAGATTTATTTCTTCTTTGAAATTAATGCATGCGGATTTGCGATCGACTTTAAAGATTTCCACTGCCTGCAAAGTTCTTAGTTGCCCCTGGTGTTGGGTGGTGAGGATAACGTGCGCTTCATCGAAGATAGGTGTAATACCCGGGTTTGTTGCATAAGTAGATAAGGCCGTCATACATTTATTATGTGCGATGTCAGATTTATGCTCTTTTGATCTTGTGGCCAATGAACATTTGGTGGATCCGATATACACTAAAGGCATATCCCATCTGTTATCTTTTAATGGAATACTGTATATTCCTGGAAGCCTGTTTGGGTCAAAATTGTCCTTCCCGTTCCTTAATAAACTGTAAATGGTTGGGTTTCTTTTATATGCAATCTTAATTCCCTTTACTTTTGCAATTTTTTCGTACATTGCCTTTAGATGCGGGTTATACGTTATTGGTACCATCTCTATGCTATCCTCATTTCCATTATTTTGTACCTCTACCTTTTCTTCAACAAGATTCTGTAAATGCCGGTGCTGCTTACACAATCCATTTATAATGTTGCTGTAACCATGCTCTTTAGCAATCTTCTTAATGTAATTTAATTCTCGTTGGAGGGCTTGGGTGGTGGAAGAATGCATATAGGCTCTTTCTACTAATGCTCTAAACGCTGCTATCTTATAAGAAAATGGGTCACATGATTCATATGGTATACACGTTGATACCGCTGTAGGTTTTCTGTAGACATAAGTTTGTACCGCCCTTTCTTTCATATCTATGACTATATCCAAGAAGTGTACTTTATCCATACTATGTCGTTCCAGTTCCACTACGAGGCCATATGGGTTGTTATTCATTGTTTCCATAAAATGTTCTATATCCAGCTCAGTTTTCCAAAGGATAATTATAACGTCGATATATCTTCCGTACAGGATAATATTTGGGAGAAAGGAGGGAAGGACTTTGCTTTCTAATATTCTGATCACCACTTTGCATAAATCTCCAGATAACAGACTTCCCATTGACACACCTCTTCTCTGCGCATATATAGTGCTCTTGAATTGGAATACGAAATTGTAACAAGCCAGATGTGCTAACTTGAGTATATTGCGGTGCAATGTGGTGTCATCTATGCTAGAAAGAAGGAAGTCCCTGAGTGCACAAAAACATGGTTGAATTTTTATTGATGGGTACAAGGATCTAAAATCCAATACCGTAGTGCAATTGGGAGTATCTATCTTCTTAAGTTCTTTTAAAAGCTCCATTGGACTTGCTATCTTGAACTGGTAGTCTTTTAAGTGCGCGGATAGTAGACAAAGGGAGAGCTCCTACCTAGAGCTCCCACCCTTAAGTTGGAAAAGTTATTACATAACAGGCTATCCATGCACTTAAAAGATTACCAGTTCAAGATAGCAAGTACAATGGAGCTTTTAAAAGAACTTAAGAAGGTAGACACTCTCTGCATGGCAATTTTTAATTGACAATAAATCATAATATATTTTATAAGATAAATTTATATGAGGTATTGCATATAACGAATCCCCATTGGTAGAAAATTATATTTGAAATAGCATGTGGATTCCTTCCACTTTCGGAATTTTTTTTTTTTTTGGAAAATGGCACGTTTCAAATTTTTAAAAGACATTCAAAATAAAAAATCCAGTTATAACGGAAGGTATAAAAATAAGCCTGAAGAAGATCCAAGGAGGGGAATCAAAAATGTTCGCCGATTTTTAAAGAATTTCAAAATAAAAAATCCAGTTATAACGGAAGGTATAAAAATAAGCCTGAAGAAGATCCCAGGAGGGGAATCAAAAATGTTCACCGATTTTTAAAGAATTTCACGCCGGTTACTGGTTAATTGTAGATCGTTGTTTATTTGAATTCCATTTATTTTTAG